AAATGCTGGGACTAGGGGTATATGAGTGGGGCTACACAAGCTACTTTTGCCAAGTTTTGTTCTAGGACAAAAAATAATTTTTTGTGGATCCTAGAGAATTGCCCATGCGCAAGGGCAATTCCAGGTAAACATCTGCTGTGCCCAGTTATGTAAGACATGAAGTATATCCTAGAGTTATATAGGGATATCACCATCCCTAGTCCTGATTATGTATATCATCCACCCTGCGCTGTTGTTTATGAAATGGTGTCTACCCAGGTAATTTTTGTTCCTCTATGCTTTCCATATAAGATGTGTGTTCATAAAAGACATCACCAAAAGGCTTCACGTGGACAAACTCTAAATTAAAACCTATAATGAACGCATTATGTTTCTTAATTTTTCAATTCAACAATGTATCGTAAGTATATTGCCGAGACCTCATAAAAAAATGCATGAGTAACACAATCACACACCATCCACGGAAGTAATTGGTAAGTCGGCTTTATTCCTCGAATAAAGCACGCGTACCCCCTATTTCAGCCTATTCTAATACGACACGCATTTTGAAACAATTTTTGCGTATGCCATTTGCTGAATCTTTCCTCCAACAAGGTTTCTTCCAGAGTTATCGTCAGCGGCCTAGTAGCTCGGCTGAACCCCAAGGCGGCAACTGTGTGTGTCGAGGTATTTGATCTTTGTCCAGGGCCTCCGGCACCACTTACGTCTGCTTGCCTGCCTGCAGAGGAGAATACAGTAGTGTGTCTTTCATCCACGAGAAGGGAGCATAAAAAAGGCTGGAACTGCAGTCAGTTGCCCTGCAGTTCATGGGTCCCTGCACACACACACACGTACGCGTACATCGGTAAACAGCTGTTTAACCGCGGTTACGATCGAATACAAACCAGCAACCAGCTGCAACGACTATGAGTTACAGTCAGAGAGAAAGAGAAACCACAGGGCAGACGCAGAGGCAACCGAGAAGTCGGAGGACGCGTCGGCGAATAGGAGATAAAAATAGTATGGGTAGAGACAGCCGCACAAGGCAAAAACGACAACGGGAAAAAAGCATGAGAATGATACTGATAATGCCGATGGCGGAGATGAGGATGACGAGGAAGAGGAAGGTTTAATACCGTGCAGCTGCCGCTGCCGCTGCCGCCGCCAGCCCAATTACTGTCAACAGCCAGTCCGTCAGAAATGTCTAAAGGCGCGCACTTTCTTTTTTTTCATAGAAACGGCTACAGTTAAGGCTGATACCGCCGTCCACTTTGTAAATAGGCCATACAAAGGGACATGAACGTCGACGAATGTCAGGAGGGGACATGCATTGGATAGTAGCCCACACCATACTCTGCTCACAATTCATCCAAATTCAAAGGACTTATAACACTTGATGATGCCCTCATTACTTTGGATACGATATTTTCGAAGTCTGAGTGATTATAGCACACAAATCTTACCTTATCTTATTTTCTGTTGGTATTGAGAAAAATGCACGTCAAATTTTAAAATGGAAAGATCAAAATATACTTATGG